GAGGAGAAGGGCCTGCAGGAGGCTAAGCATTTTAAAGCGGCAACTTTTTTCTCTTGCTGAGGTGCATTTTTTTTCCTCCTCTGTGACCCCTGTGTTTTATCACTTAAGGCGTGTATGACATGGGTAGCTTGTAATTCTTAAGGTTTAATGGCAAATGAGGCTTCCTGGTTTCGAAGAGTCGGAACACCAGGAGTTAAAGTTTTTTACCATTCCACTTGTTTGGAAGTGACCAAAAAGTTGTATTATTCTAGAACACCTTCTCTGTGAGACCCTGAGAGACTGCTTTTGGTTTAGTAAATACTGGCTTAGGAAACATAGTGGTACAAAGATAATCTTGTTCTTAATTTTTTGGCCTGAAGATGGCAGAATGAATGAATGGTCCCAACCACGACAGTGACGGCTGCCTGGCACTGTATAATTTCTAAGTGGCTTGATCAATGTCATCTTATTTTATCCCGGTGGCTGACATGGGTTTGCTAGGTCTACATAAACTGTCAAAATTAATTTCACTAATTCAGTCACAAACACAATTTTTTAAAGATATGTAAATACAGAACACAAAGAGTTATGCTTTGTACTGCGCAGACTTACTCCCTGGTGATGGGAGGTTAGGACAGGGTCGAGGTCACCAAGCCAGTATAACCTTCGTGCCCACACTTGCAGAGTCTCTTGGTCAGTGAGACTGATGTCTTAGAATGAGCTGAGCACCCACCAGTACTTGGGAGGCAAGGGAGGATGAAAGGACTATGAGCCCCACACTCAGCAACATTATGCTTACGCATTTGAATGAATCTCCACAACAGTGTTATTACCACCGTTTCTACAGAAAGTGAATCTATTGTGTGCTTCACAGAGAATTACATAAGCACGTATCAGGCGGCAGTAACTGATGTAAGTATTTAAAAACTTAGGTCCTGTATTGGTAACTCTCCCTTTCAAGCAGAAACTTGGTAATTCATACAGAATTTCCGTTGCTTTGTAGGGGACAATATGGCCAGTCAAGACCAGCGGCGACAGAAAAAAATTCTTAAGAATATGCACCTATCCTTAGGAAGTAGGACTTGGGTCTTTCTACTTTATGTGTACTTTGTATTATTGAGACAATTACTTTATGATGAGGATGTTTTACTTAAAGCTTTATTTAGCGGTCAGCCTTGATTGATTTGTAATTACTGAATTTAACTTTCTAATTTTTTTTACTGCCCTTCTTATCTACAGGACCTGCACAAGGCAAAGAAAAGAGGATGGGTAGGAAATCAGGCGGACTCTGCCGAACGGGTTAACTCTCTGAGGCTCCACTTTCTGCTCTGTGTTAACGGTCTCCATGCACCTATCACCAACACTGGTGTCGGGAGGCTGGTGCCCATGTGAACGCTCCTTGAACTCAACAGAGTTGATTTCCTTCCTTCCTGCAGGGTTTTAATGCTATTTAAACATAGTGTAAATTATGCTTGAGGTTTAAAAAGGAACACATATTCCTACATACGTTCATCTCAGTGGGGAGTCCACAGAAGTGTTCAGAAAAATACATTTTCAGTGAAAGGTGGCTCCAGACAGGAAGTTTTTGTTGGAGAGGAGTAAAGATTCTGGGAGGCTGCTTCAGGCACTTTTGCAAACTGTGTTCCTATTCCAGGAAGCCTCCAAACAAGGAGTTTAGGGACAGGGTCACCCCTGATAAACCCACTGGTAATTGGGAGCCCCGGGACAAGCAAGCAGACTTTCTGGGTCAGGGGTAGGGTGGGGAGCCTCTGATCATCTAAAGTCACTCTGTATGGGGGAAACCTGCTGCCGAGAGAGGATGAAAAGCTGCCGTATCTTGTCTTCCTCTGCATCCCAAACAGGCAGTGACGAAATGAGAAGAGAATACAGCATCTGCATATTACACTTTATAATCTGTTTCAGTACATTCCCACCAAACACTTGTGACTGGCTCGCAGTCTGTGCCCAGGGGCGGTGAGCTGACATCCCATGCCCGACTCCCAGTACTCACCAAACTGATTAGTCCTGCAGTGTCTCAGGGTTCGGACAGTGTCGGCAATCATGTGCTGCAAGGGAGAGCAGGAAACGTATCAATGGAAGGGTCATTTAGGGTGCTGCTGGGATAGCGGTACCTGCCGGGATGGAAGGATTTTACACCCTTGGGTGCAAACAGAAGAGCTGTAGTTGGAACTGGACTTTAACTGAGAATATTGAGCTTAGATTACAAAAGGATATTCGGTCTTCGTCTGCAGAAACAGCACTCTCAACCCGGGCTGCACAGAGTCCAACTGAGCCCTGCATTTCCACGTGCCATGGACTCTAACAGCCCATTGTTTACACAGTGTCAGGAAATCCAGCACCCCCACCCCCATCTCCCTGTCCGAATCTGCCTAGGCTTTTCATGTCAGGGGATGTTTTGCCTCTTCTCCGTGAAGCCTTTCTGAGATTTCCCTTCTGAATCGGGGAGGCTCCTCGGGACAGTATAGGTTGGCCTGTGTGGTCGGCACTGCTCGGGATCTTTGCGCCTCCTCTAGGCTGGGTGCCACTAGAGGGCTCTGCATGCCTAGCACCTGTCATATGGCACACGGTGACTCCCGCATACGTGTTGAATGCCCGTAGGAATACTGGTGGCATCAAAGACTCCGTATCTCAAATCAGGACAGGAAAGGAGATAGTTACAAAAGGCAAACATTTTCTAAAACACCAGTGTCATTACAGAGACTGTTCTCTGTTTATGATTTACATTCCCTCCTATGGTCTTCAGGATTTTGCTTTAATTTCTTTCTTTGAAGTTCTCACTGATCTGCAGGCAGAAGTCTTCTTGACCTTATGGCTGCCTTTGACCAGATCCCATGAGCTCATACTCAGGTACCTCCAACAGTCTTCTAGCTCTCTCGTTTTTAGTGTTCCACCGTGAAGGAGAAAGACAGCATTTAGGACAACATTCTGCACTACTATTCCTCCCCTCTGGTTGCTAGAATAATCTCCGAACACTGTTGCTATCATGTTCTAGTCCTCTGGAAAATCCACAGTGACTTTCTAATTTGCCATCTCAAAATCCAAACATCATCCTATTATTCGAGAATCAACATTATTCATTATCTGGTCCTCCAAACTTCCCCAAATGTGTCCTTATCTTTCCCATCCTGCGTGTACACACCAAGCAAAGGCTCATCCATATACAGCAAGCCCTCAATGAATTATTGCTTAAAGAATATTAGTACAAAATTTTTTAATTTAATATCTGTCAAAACTATAGAAACTTTGTTTGAACATGACCTACTTATTAAATTGTTCTCCACTGTATTTCTAATTTATTTCTACTCAATAGCGGAAAATTAAATAGGACAGTGATTAGAGCAGTAGCTCAGGCTGCCTTTGTAAAGGAAATGAGACGTGATTCATGCCTGTGAATGTATTGTTACGTTTCCTTCCCCAAATCTGACCGCTATTCCCAGGGCAGGTCTCTCATTCTAAGCTATGGCGTCACACTGATTTCTATCGTGTTCCATTTGTGTGGCTCACAGGAGCGGATGCAAGGCTGAGTACTGAGCGCCGCAGTGAAACCCCAGTCCTGGTCCTCATCTTTGGCTTTCTTGAAGCAGGAAGGAGGAGGAGGAGGAGGAGGAAGATCTGGTAAAGGATGACGCTCTCGACATGGAGGAGTTGAGAAGAAAAATAGAAAAACGTCTGTTTCTTCGTTATTTAATAGCTCAGGGCTGAAACGGTTAGAGCTGCTGAGACAGCAGAGGGCACAGCAGACGTCTCATTAGACCCAATGCGCACTTCTGGGCCTTCGCGTTGTTGGACTTAATGGGTTGGCCTGTATCAGCCAGATAAAGAGAATACACTGAATTACTTGCTAGCTGGCTTAAGCTAATATCCATCATGAGGAATTGGCTTCTCACCAGTTAATTCAGTTAGGTTCTATTGGTTCATTATTGTGAAAGATGATCCTGTTTTTGCTTAAGCGATACGCTGTTCCTTGCTAAGAAACATTCCTTCAAAATATTGACTCCATTAGGAAATTCAGTTTCCTTCCCCAGCATGCAAGTAGAACACAGGGCTGTGTATAATGTAAAATAGATTTCTGTCCTTCGAAAAAATGTGAATTCACCCTGTTTTCTCTGTGCAAGGAGGGGGTCAGCATGAGGCGGGCTACATCTTAAGTGCCATTTACTTTGAGGACCAGGAACTCCCCAATATTACAGAATCTGCTGTCTCTCTCTCTTTTCTTTTTTAAATTTTATTTATTTGACAGAGAGAGAGAGAGAGTACAGGAATGGGGAGTGGCAGGCAGAGGCAGAGGGAGAAGCAGGCTTCCTGCGGAGCAGGGAGCCTGATGCGGGGCTCGATCCCAGGACCCTGGGATCATGACCTGAGCCAATGGCAGATGCTTAATGACTGAGCCACCCAGGCGCCCCAGAATCTGCTCTCTTTAGCAATGTTGTGCTTACAAGCACCTGACGGATGCATGTGGGTGCTATGGCCTGCTCTGTGCATGTATACCTGCATTTCTTTCTTTTTTTTTTGGTGGGCAGCAAAGCAAAGTTTATTGAGTGATAGTTCAAAGCTCCTGAAGAGGGAGGGGACCCAAGAGGGCTGCCCTATACTTGCATTTATTTTCTAGCTGTCTTTTTTGCATAAAGTTCTCTTCAGGAATTTAAAATTTAAAAGAGAGGGGTGCTTGGGTGGCTCAGTCGGATGGGTGTCTGCTTTTGGTTCAGGTCATGATCCCAGGACCCTAGGATCAAGCCCCACATCGGGCTCGATCCCAGGACCCTAGGATCAAGCCCCACATCGGGCTCGATCCCAGGACCCTAGGAT